GTCCAACAAAGCTCTGACACAAAATATCCAGTAAATATGGGACACAATGAAAAGACCAAACCTAAGAATAATAGGTATAGAAGGTGAAGAAATTCAGCTTAAAAGTACAGAAAACATACTCAAAAAAATCATAGAAGAAAACTTCCCCAACCTACAGAAGGATATGCCTATGAAAGTACAAGAAGCTTACAGAACACGACATAGATGGACCACAAAAAGAAGTCCCTTGCTACACAATAATCAAAACAATAAACTTACAGAGTAAAGATAAAGTATTAAGAGAAGCAAAGGAAAAAGACCAAGTAACATATAAAGGCAGACCTATTAGAATTATACCCGAATTCTCAATGGAAACTTTGAAAGCCAGAAGGTCCTGGATAAATATCCTACAAACACTAAGGAAACATGGATGCCAACACACACTACCATACCCAGCAAAGCTTGCAATCACTATAGATGGAGAAAACAAGATATTCCATGACAAAACCAGATTTGAACAATACATATCCACAAATCCAGCCATACAGAAAGTTCTGGAAGGAAAACTCCAACCCAACAAAGATAACTACACTCACAAAAGCATAGGTAATAGATAATCCCACTTTATCAAATGGAAAAGAAAAAAGAGGGCAAAATCCACACACAATGACACCACCAACAATAAAACAAACAAGAACCAAGAATCAACAGATATTTATATCCCTCGATTTCAATGGCTTTAACCTGCCTACAAAAAGATACAGGCTAACAGAATGGATACAAAAACAGAATCCATCCTTCTGCTGTATAAAAAGAAACCACACATCAACTTCAAAGACAGACATTGCCTAAGAATAAAGGGTTGGGAAAAGAATTTCCAATCAAATGGAAGCAAGTAACAAGCTGGTGTAGCAATCCTAATAGCTAATAAATTAGACTTCAAACTAAAATCAATCAAAAGAGGTAAAGAAGGGCATTTCATACTCATCACAGGAAAAGTCCATCAAGATAAAGTCTCAGTCCTGAACATCTATGCCCCACATATGAAGGCACCCTGGAAAAGAATCATTCCTGAAGCTCAAACCACACATAAAACCTCACACATTTATGGTAGGAGACTTCAACACCCTGCTCTCACCACTAGACAGTACCACCAGACAGAAACTTAACAAAGAAACAAAGGATTTAACAGAAGTTATGACCCAATTGGGTTTAACAGATATCTATAGAACATTCCATACAAGCACAGAAATTATACCTTCTTGTCAGCACCACATGCATCTTTCTCTAAAACTGACCACATATTTGGCAACATAGCAAACCTCCACAGATACAAAATACTGAAATAACCCCCTATATCTTATCAGACCTACATGCTTGAAAGTTAGAATTCAACAACAAAACAAATTGCAGAAAACCTACAAATTCATGGAAATTGAATAATGTCCAATAGCACAATTACTGGGTCAAGGAAGAAATAAAAAATTAAAAATTTCCTAGAATTTAATGAGAATGAAGTCATAACATACCCAAAATCATGGGACGTTTTGAAAGCAGTGCTAAGAGGAAAGTTTATAGTATTAAGTGCCCACATGAAGAAACTGGTTAATAGTCACACTAGAGAATTGACAGAACAACTGAAAGCTTTAGAACAACAAGAAGCAAACTCACCACATAGGAGTTGATGCTAGGAAACAATCAAACTGAGGGCTGAAATCAATAAAGTAGAAACTAGGAAAATATTACAAAGAATCAGTGAAACAAGATAGACAAACCTGTATCCAAACTAACCAAAAGGTAAAGAGGAGCATGCTAATTAACAAAATCAGAAATGAAAAGGGGCAAATAACAATAGACACCAAGGAAAACCAGAGAATCATCAGGTCATACTTTGAAAGCCTGTACTCCACAAAATTCAAAAATCTAAAGGAAATGGACAATTTTCTGGATAGATATCACTTATCAAAATTAAATCAAGAAAAGATAAGCAATTTAAATCAACCTATAACCCCCAATGAAATAGAAGCAGTCATCAAAAGTCTCCCAACCAAAAAAAGCCCAGGGCCAGATGGCTTCACTGCAGAATTCTACCAGAAATTCAAACAAGAGTTAATACCAGACCTCCTCAAATTTTTCCACACAATACAAGCGGAAGGGACATTGCAAAACTCTTTTTACGAGGCTACAATTACCTTGATACCCAAGCCACACAAAGACACAACTAAAAATGAGAACTACAGACCAAGAATCCAAGAAAACATCAGAAAAATCATCCACCATGATCAAGTAGGCTTCATCCCAGGGATGCAAGGATGGTTCAACATACGAAAATCCATCAATGTAATCCACCATATAAACAAAATGAAAAAGAAAACCACATGATCATCTCAAAAGATGCTGAAAAAGCCTTTGACGAAATCCAATATCCCTTCATGATAAAGATCTTGGAGAGCACAGGAATAACAGGAACATATCTAACCATGGTAAAACAATATACAGCAAACCAACAGCAAAAATCAAAATAAATGGAAACTCAAAGTGTTTCCTCTAAAATCAGAAACAAGGCTGTCTACTCTCTCCATATCTTTTCAATATTGTCCTTGAAGTTCTAGCTAGAGCAATAAGAAAAGAAAAGGAGATCAATGGGATACAACTTGGAAAGGAAGAAATCAAACTTTCACTATTCGCAGATGATATGATAGTCTACAATAGTGACCCGAAAACTCTATCAGGGATCTCCTACAGCTGATAAACACCTTCTGGAAAGTAGCAAAATACAAGATTATCTAAAAAAATCAGTAGTCCTACCATATACAAATGATAAACTCAATGAGAAAGAAATCAGAGAAATATCACCCTTCACAATATCCTCAAACAACATGAAATATCTTGGGGTAACACTAACCAAAAACGTGGAAGTCCTCTATAGGAAGAACTTTGAGTCTTTAAAGAAAGAAATTAAAGAAGATACCAGAAAAAGGAAAGATCTCCCAAGATCTTGGATAGGTAGGATCAACATAGTAAAAATGGCAATCTTGCCAAAAGCAATCTACAGATTCAATGCAATCCCCATCAAAATGCCAACACAGTTTTTCACACACCTTGAAAGAATAATACTCAACTTTATATGAATAAACAAGAAACCAAGGATAGAAAAAAAAACAACCCTCTACAATAAAGGAACTTCTGGAGGCACCAACATCCCTGACATCAGGCTCTATTATAAAACCACAGTCCTGAAAACAGCTTGGTATTGGCACAAAAGTAGAAGTATAGACCAATGTAATTGAATTTAAAACCCTGATATTAACCCTCACATGTATGAAAACCTGACTTTTGACAAAGAAGCTAAATTTACACAATGGAAAAAAGAAAGCATCTTCAACAAATAATGCTGGCATAACTGGATTCTGACATGCAGACGATTGCAGATAGATCCATATCTATCACCTTGCACAATACTAAAGTCCAAATGGATCAAAGACTTCAACATAAACCCAGCCACACTGAATCTCCTAGAAGAAAAAGTGGGGGATACTCTTGAAGCAAGTGTTACAGGAGACTGCTCCTGAACATAAGACCAGTAGCATAGACATTGAAATCTAATAATAAATGGGACCTCCTGAAACTTAGAAGCTTCTGTAAGGCAAAGGACACAGTCAACAAGACATAATGGCAGCCCACAGAATGGGAGAAGACCTTCACCAACCCTACATCTGACAGGGGGCTGATATACAAAATATACTGTGAACTCAGAAAGCTAGCTACCAAAATACCAAACAAAGAAATTTAAAAATGGGGTGCAGGACTCAATAGAGAATTCGCAACAGAATAATTACAGAGGAATCTGAAATGGCTGAAAGACACTTAAGAAAGTGCTCAAAATCCTTGGCCATCAGAGAAATGCAACTCAAAACAACTCTAAGATACTACTTCACACCTGTCAGAATGGCTAAAATCAAAAACACCAATGACAATCTATGCTGGAGAGGATTTGGAGAAAAATGAACACTCCTCCATTGCTGGTGGGAGTACACTAACTCTTTGGTTCTAGAGTATAGGATGACCTGGGTGGCTATGGAGAGAAAAAGAAATTGAAGATATATTAACTATGGTGTTAACTCTACTACCTGCATACTAAGGAGAGCTATCAGACAGCAGGTAGGGGAGATTGGATCCCCAACCCGTTCCTTAATACTGAAGATAGACATATTGAAAAGGAACATGGCATCTATCTTCAGGGTGTTATGTAAAGTTCATAACCAGTGTTAAATCTGAATTTTCTTCTTCTCTCTAGTCTTATATTTCTTTCATCATCAACTCCTAACTCAGGCCATAGCATGGCATAATGCATAAAGGTCCCAGGGAAAACACCATTTGAAAACTCATGGTGACTATTGACTGTAGAGCTGAGGGACAAAGTCTCAAGTGACAAACCCAAACCTCTGTGTCATAGTGGGCTGTTTAAAGTAAGAGGAGTCAGGGGATGGTGAACAGTGTGGCCAGAGAAACATGGGTGGAAAATTTAAGGGGATAGTGGTATCTTTAACCAAAAAAAGATTTTTGGATAGAGACCTGTCTCTGAGGTGCTGTGTCGGCAAGGGAAAAGATAAGAGACATTTATGAGGAAGACTGGAGAAAACAAATCAAGTGCAAAAAATGTAGCCAAAATCCAATCTGTAAAATGAAGCCACCACTTGAATTCTTCTCTGAGTGGTTAGGAGTGGACATTAGGGGCTGTGGCTTGCTGCTTTCTGTCTCAGCACCTATCATGAAACACAGGCATTGATTTATTTTCCCTAGGTCGGAATTGAACCCCCCCTATTATGTATCATGAATGTTTAGCATGAATCTTTCTATGAGACACACAAATCATTTAGCACACCATTGCAGTGAAAGTAATAACATTTTATTAGTCAGAAGACAGATGCCCAAAGTCTTCATCATTTTCCTCACAGGTTCAGTTGTTCTTTAGGGAACAAGTAACCTTTGAGCACAGACAAAGGAAAGGAAAGTGGGCTTTAGTGGTACTTGTGAGCCAGGGCATTGGCCACACCACTCACCACCTTCTGAAAGGCAGCCTGTGCACAGGGGGTGAAATCCTTGCCAAGGTGTAGGGAGAGCACAATCACGATCATATTGCCCAGGAGCTGTGTAAGACAAGACAGGCATCACATGATAGTAAACAAAAATACCAGACACTGCAGGCTCATTTCAAATGGCAGTTGTGGTTTTTATCTTAAAATATAAGTAGAATGGCAGCTGGGGTCTACTGGCCAATTTTGATAAGAATTATTCTGTCTCAAGCAGAATTTATATGCAAAATATATTCCCAAGGGCAGAATAGAACCCTCCCTACTTTATATCATGAATTCTTACCATGAACATTTCTATGAAACACACAATAACTTAGCACACCGTTGAAGTAAAAGTAAATGCCTTTTCTTTGTCAGAAGACAAATGTCCAAGGCCTTCATCGCTTTTGCCACAGCTGGCAATTGTTCTCTAGGGTACGAGTGACCCAATTGCCCTAGCCAGAAAGCCAATTATCCCTGATACTCTTTAGAGCTGTTCAAGGAAGCAGGGAATCTCACTTATCTTCCTTGTCCTCAAAGCAAGTTACCAAGAAATACTTGAAAGAAAACAAAATAAACAAACCAAAAAGCAGATAAAGAAGAAATACATTTTTAAACTACTAGTGAAAATTAAAACTTTACTGAAAAAAGAGCAAATCACAACTTAGAAGAAAAAAGTAAGAGAAAAAAAATGATGACTACCAGTGCAGGGTAAAATAATCAAACTCTTGTCAGCACTCTATGAAGCACAAGCAGACACCGTCCTTGTAAATGTCTACCTAGGATCTCTTCCCCTTCCTTTGGGTGGGAAGGTGAGCACAAAAGCCAGGGGATTGAGCCACAGGCAGACCCATTAGACTCACCCTGAAGTTCTCAGGATCCACATGCAGCTTGTCGCAGTGGAGCTCACTCAGACTGGCAAAGGTGCCCTTCAGGTTGTCCAGGTGTTTCAGGCCATCAGCAAAGGAGGTGATCACTTTATTGCCATGGGCCTTCACCTGGGGGTTACTCATGACAGCAGAGGCAGAGGACAGGTCTCCAAACTTTTCAAAGAATCTCTGGGTCCAAGGGTAGACAATCAGCAACCTAAGAAGGAGAAAAGAGCCAGAGAACACAGGAAATTAGTACCTGTGGAGAGCAGACCTCCATCTCCATACACCCGACTTGTGAATGTCCCTTTAACCTCAATACAAACCTGGCCAGGGATTCAGCGCCAATTTCAACAGGTTTCACCTTTCCCCACAGGCCATTGACAAGCCCCTTCTCAGCATCAGTCATGCGCACCATGGTGTCTGTTTCTGGGCTTGTGATTCAACACAACTGTATCCAAAGCAAATGTGAGAAGAAACTGGTCCTGCTCTGCTTTATATGCCTTGCCCTGGCTCCTTCCCTCTCTGCTCTGTGTGAGCTGTTTGGCCAATGCCAGGGTGTGGCTCATCAGGGTGAACTACATTGATGACAGCAACACCTACCCAGGGTGGATATGGCACAGGAGCAAGTGTGTGAGCTCTGCATCTTTCCTCTCAAGGTGATCTGCTGTTATCACAGAAGCAAATGCTGGTCTCCTAAAACATCTTCTTTTGCTATTACATTTATGCATTTATGGATCAATAACAAAGCTTTCCTCTCAAGGTGATCTGCTGTTATCACAGAAGCAAATGCTGGTCCTAAAACATCTTCTTTGGCTATTACATTTATGCATTTATGGATCAATAACAAAGTTTTTTGTTAGATATATCTTCTGCAATATTATTTACTAAACAAATGCAAAAAAGTAGCATATTACAGATAAGAAAATGGCCTGTTTTTTTTTCAGGAATGTTTGAGAGGCTTTTCCTGTGAATACAGCCTATGAAACATAAACAAGAAGACAACATCATCATTCTTCTATTGTTTCTCTAAGTCTGTCTTTCTTCTGTTTTGGGTTATATCATCAGGTAACAAAGTAAACATGTGTTCACTTATTTCAAGCTTGTCTGTGTGTGTGTCCTTTCTTTTTATAATTCTTTAATTACTACTCATATTTACATACCCATACTCCTATTCCCTCCTTCCTTCCTTCCTTCCTTCCTTCTTTCCATTCTTTTTATAATTCTTTAATTACTACTCATATTTACATACCCATACCCCTATTCCCACACACCCCCAGCCTCCCAATCCTCCCCAAGGATAGTGAGGTCCTCCACAGGGTACCTTCAAAGTCCATCATATCATTTCAGGGAGGGCCTATGTCCTTTTGTTCTGGGCTGTGGGGGAGGGCCTAGGCCCTCCTTGCTGTATTTGGAATACAAATACAGTATTCCTTGCAATAGTATCCCTCCAAAGGGAATGGGCTCCCAAAGTCCATTGTGCTCTAGGGATAAAGACTGGCTCCACCTTTACAGGTCCCATAGACTGTCTTGGCCTCCTAGCTGGCACCACATTCAGAGAGCTTGGTTTGGTCCAATGCTGTTTCCCCAGCTTTATGACAAGGGTCTCCATGTTATCAGTAGGTCAGGTCCACTGTTTCTGCAGGTCTCTCTAGCCCCATCTTGGCTCCTTTGTTCATCCCTCCTCCCTCTCCACAACTGAATTGCAGTAGTGTGCTTCAGTGCTCAGCTGTGGGTGTCTGTTTCTGCTTCGAACAGCAACAGCATGAAGGCTCTCATTCCTCTCCCTGCTCCTGGGCTCCCACTTTGGTCAGGGGTTCTTGTCCCCATCCCCTTCATCGAGGGACTACACAATCTTCTCTTGGGATCCTCCTTGTTTTCTAGCACTGCTGGTAGTGTGGATTGTAGAATAATGATCCTTTACTCTATGTCTAAAAATCAAAAATGAGTGAGTACATTCTATGTTTATCTTTTTGTAATTGGGTTACCTCACTCAGGATGGTTTCTTCTAGTTCCATCCATTTGCCTGTGAATTTCAAGATTCCATTGTGTTTTTCCACTGAGTAGTACATTGTATAAATGTAGCACATTTTCTCTATCCATTCTTCAGTTGAGGGGCATCTAGGCTGCTTCCAGGTTCTGGATATTATAAATAATGCTGCTATCAACATAGTTGAACATATGTCCTTATTGTTTGAGTGTGCATAGTTTGGGCATATGCCCAAGAGAGGAATTGCTGGACCTTGAGGTAGACTTATTCCCATTTTCCTGAGAAATCACCATACTGATTTTCAAAGTAGTTGTACAAGTTTGCACTCACACCAACAATGGAGGAGGGTTCTTCTTTCTCCACATCCCCTCCAGCATAGATTGTCATTAGTGTTATTAATTCCTACATGATTAAAGGTGTTGGAAAGATCAGGAATAACTGGAACACACCTAAACATGATAAAAACAATATATAGCAAACCAAGAGCCAAAATCAAACTAAAATGAGAGAAACTCAAGGCGATTCCTCTAAAATCAAGAACAAGACAAGGCTGTCCACTCTCTCCATATCTCTTCAATATTGTACTTGAAGTCCTAGCTAGAGCAATAAGACAACAAAAGGAGATCAAGGGGATACAAATTGGAAAGGAAGAAGTCAAACTTTCACTATTTCCAGATGACATGATAGTTTACATAAGTGACCCAAAAAACTTACCAGGGAACTACTACAGTCAATAAACACCTTCAGCAAAGTGGCAGAGTACAAGATTAACTAAAAAAAATCAGTAGCCCTACTATATACAGAAGATAAATGTGCTGAGAAAGAAATCAGAGAAACATCACCCTTTACAATAGCAACTAACAACATAAAATATCTTGGGGCAACACTAACCAAAAACGTGAAAGTCCTCTATAGGAAGAACTTTGAGTCTTTAAAGAAAGAAATTAAAGAAGATACCAGAAAATGGAAGGATCTCCTATGCTCTTGGATAGGTAGGATCAACATAGTAAAAATAGAAATCTTCCAAAAGCTATCTACATATTCAATGCAATTCCCATCAAAATCCCGACACAAATTTTCACAGACCTTGAAAGAATAATACTCAACTTCATATGGAAAAAACAAAAAAACCCAGGATAGCCAAAACAACCCTGTACAATAAAGGAACTTCTGGAGGCATCACCATCCCTGACTTCAAGCTCTATTATACAGCCATAGTCCTGAAAACAGTTTGGTATTGGACCAAAAATAGACAGGTTGACCAATGAAATTGAATTTAAAACCGTAATATTAACCCACACACATAGGAACACCTGATTTTTGACAAAGAAGCTAAAGTTATACAATGAAAAAAGGAAAGCATCATCAACAAATGGTGTTGGCATAACTGGATTCGGACATGTAGAAGATTGCAGTTAGATCCACATCTATTGCCATGCACAAAACTTAAATCCAAATGGATCAAAGACCTCAACATAAATTCTGCCACACTGAACCTCCTAGAAGAGAAGGTAGGTGGTACCTTGGAAGAAATTGGTACAGGAGACCACTCTATGAACATAACACCAGTCCTTCTTTCTTTAATTTGTTCACTTATTCCTGTTAATTTTGAGAAGAAGCTGAATTGAATGAGTCTTACACACTTGTTACTCTTTTAGTTTTGGAGCCCCAGAGATGGAAACAGAGCTCCCAGTTCAGTAGAAAATCAATATGAATATAAAGAGATTTAGAACCCAATATTTGCCTGTGAATTTCAAGATTTCATTGTTTTTTCTGCTGAGTCTTCATTATGCAAATGTACCACATTTTCTTCATCCATTCTTTCATTGAGGTCTCACCCTCACTGAGGAGTGGATGGGGGGTTGGAATGTGGGGATGTTGGGAAAAATGACTGAAAGGAGGAAGAGGAACCTGGAATTGATATGTAAAATAAGATTGTTTCTAATTTAAATAAAAAAAATTCTAAAGAGAATCCAAAGATTGGATTAAATATTTAGGGCTTCAGTTTTCTGGAAAGAAAAAATTGATAAAACAACAAGCTTTTTCTTTCTGTAATCCTCTGTGGATGTCTGGAGGAGCAGAAGGACTGCCTTCCATTT